TGTTTGAGGTATTTATTTTTCAGTTGGAATTGTATGATGAAACTGAGTTTTCTTCATATTATTTCACTTATACTGAATATTTGTTGTGCAACTTCCATGGTTCTCAAAATTGTGGAAGTGCAAAGGTACGAATTTAATACAAAAAAGGCAGAGTACAAGCACTGTTTAACAACTGAAGTTTATTGAAACAATAAACTAATGTATGAAAATCAACACCATGCATACACAGGAATTTCACATCACACAAAAAAAAAGCTGTTAAGCTGACATACTTCACAATCCAGCTAACAAACAAAAGGTTGCGATATGTAATTTTCACCCTTGATTCTGATCAAGAACGCTTCATGTTCAGGTGCTTGTATATAAACAGTCGAAAGCCGCAATAACGAAATTCCGGGAGTAGGAAATCTCTGCAGCAACGAAATATTTCTGGATCCCCGGCGAACGTTCATAGAAGCCCATGTATTTCATATATTGCGGCAACGAAATGTTTTTGAACAGCGATCCTGCATTAACGAATTTTCTCCACAGTGCGGGCCTTATTTTACCCTCCCGCCAAAGGTTAACTGTCAAAATATGCTCGTATGCCTGTTATGCGCACTCAAAATTTGTAAACGTCTGCTTTTGCCGCGCTAGCGTGGGTACCGCCATTTTTGTTTACTTAAATAGGCGATGAGGTCTGTGTCCGGCAACATGCCTGGCCACACTGCCGCAGGCGATGACAAATAATCATGCTGGAATGCAGACGGTGCCGTCGGACGAGCTGCACTTCCGTTCAACAGTTCGGTTCTACCGAACTGCACTTCCGTTCTGCAGCCGCTCGACCAAAGCGTAATTTGGAGCGTCAAGTGCGCCTACAGGGAGAGGTTGATCCAGCATCTGCTACTCAACCTTTGCCACAAGCGTCCCACCGACGTCAACTTGTGCATAGCTTTCGAGATATTGGCCGCCGCATGGGTTCCAACATTCCTGTCGCTGATTCAGAACTGCTTCAAGCACGCCGGCTTCACCACCACCGTGCAAGCATCACGCACGGATTGCGCTTCAGCCCCACCAGACAAAGATTTGGACGAAGGCGCACTTGACGGCGAAAGTGGTGGCAGTGCAGTGCCTCTATCCCTGACCAACGCCTGGGGGGGAACTTCGAGCCATCGACACCGACATCCCAGATGAACTCACCGTTGATGCGTTCGTTCACGTCGGTGACGATGTAGTTGTGTACGAGAAAGTGATCGACGAGGCCATTATCGAAAGTGTGTGTGAAGCTGACAACACCGAGGACCAAGAAGAGACGCACGCGAAGAAACCCAACCCGCGGGTTGTTTTGGATGCACTGAACACCCTTTGCTCCTTCTTCGGCGCACATGACTGCGACGTAGCAATGGACCACTTTTTCCAGTACGAAGGGAGAGCTTTAAGTTGTTGCATGGCAAGAGTCGGCAAAGTAAGTTGACCGACTTCTAGCAATAAATTTTCTTTCTGCTGGCCGTATCACTGTTTTTATGTCTCATACTCGTGGCAACGAAATTCTCGCGAAAACGAAATTTTTCGGTTTCTCCGGTGATTTCGTTATTGCGAGTTTTGACTGTATGTGCCTTATCTCGTCATCTTCGCTATGCCAAGAAAATGTGACAATACGATTCTGCAACGTTGATGCATGCCACAAAGTACAAATGTTGCAGTCATGCTGATTTGCAAGTCATGTTGGAAGTTGAACTCCAGCAACTATCACTGCAGTCGTTATCTGATGTCTCACGTATTGCTTCCCCAGTGCATTTGACAACAAGCAAGTTTGACTAAGTTGCCTCGATCTGATGCAGAATCATTGCAACGTTTACTACTCTGTCATGAGTAAAAGGGCACGAGGCGGGTTCCATGTGCTGAAATGCGGCGTCGGTGCGTGAGCTTGAACTCAGCCGGCCACATTCACATGTGGAATTGGTCGGAGAAAGGTTCGTGGCACACGACCCGAGCCGTGATGGAAAATCCCAGGCAATAATCTGTCACTGTGCTTTGGAACTTCTAATTGGGAAGATCAGAAAGGCCAGCGTTTCTACAGTGACGGAAACAGTATAGACGCCCGGTTCAGAAGGATGTCGGCATAAGAGACCGGCGAAGTAGCCGTTGGCCTCGGAGGTCCCGAGTTAGGCTGCCTGGACTTGCCGCAACTTGTCACAGCAGTTTCTGGAGGGACTATAGCTCTTCCACTTCAAGCCAGAGTGGATGTGGCCCATACCAGTCATCGAAGAGCGTCATCAATGAGGCCATGAAGCTAGGTTTACCAACGCCTCCTTGACTGCATGCCCACCATGTCACTCGCTTTCCCATTGTGGCGGCAGTTCCATTCAGTTCTCCACAAACCTGTGAGGTGGCACTCGTTCTCTTACCGTCTTCCAGCAACAATGGATACACAGCATGGTGCTGCTAGCGAGTGCTTTTAATTCCGGGCCCTTTTTCTTACTGTCAGCCTTTCATCAGTTACCGACCGTTTCCTGTGTATTTGTTACGACGATGTTTCTTGGTGCCACCATAGAAAACGTATTATACATTTTATCACCATTGTGTCACTCTTCAAGCAACGCCTCCTTTATGTATTTCACTGCCAGTGCAAACGAGCACTTCTCTACTGAAGCCATTGATCCACCTTAGTTGTTACACTACATGATTGGTAACGCGCCTTGCATCACACACGCTTCCGAGTACTTTACACTGTAGATGCGATAGACATGTTTCCCACTCCAATAGCGTATACGTCTGTCAGATTTCTTACTTCCTGCTGCTTCTTTGTGGCTCGAAAAAATGCCGCCGCCACATCACAGAGCAGCGCATGCAGAAGCGTTTTAGGGACACTTCCCCATTGGTTGTCCACATAGTACCACAATCGGCGACACGCTAACTCAAAACACCGTACCTTTCACAGAGCCAGTGTGACCGCCAATATTGTGAACACGGGGAACGCAAGGTGCCGCCCCACGGATTCGTACACAACTGAACAAAAATTCATATGATTACCGTCATGAGGCACTGTGTGAGGGGTCCTCTCCCCCATGACCGCAAAGCACACGCAAAGGCTAGGTGATGGAAGAGAGCAGGTGTGGGTTAGAGGAGAGGTTGGGCACGTCTGGCTGGTATTGATAAAATAGATAAGGCATTGGTTTGAAGAATCTTTTTTTTTCTATGATGCCAAGAACAAATTCATCTGGAAAGAACAGCACGGCTGGCAATTTTGACGAAGGTGTTTCAATGGCATGCGTTATAATACATTGTAAAAAATTGCATGTTTGGCACACACAACTTAGAATGAATTCGGATCTTATCTCTCAGCATTTGATGGGAGGGTTTTCTAGACTGTATCACACCATGCAAATTTCAGAAGGTGGCTGATTTTACAAACAGATTGTAAATCGTTTATTGACTCTGCTTGTTTATCTTTCTTACATGACTAAACGATTATTTGCAGTTCTATTCACAGAAAAGTGCTGGGCTCAGTGAGCCATGCTCACCGATCTGTAGACCACAATAGGTACGTCATACTCGGCACCTAGTGGTCGATAGCTTTAGCCTGAAGCCATTTCTTCTTCAAATGAGCGTTTCGTGAAACGATACTTAAGCTGGGTGCGCAGTGTTTAATGCTCGACTTACATTTCGGCATGCAGCAATGAGGCATGATCAGTGTAGTCTTTGCTATACACAGCTGCCAATGGTTCACATTTAGAAACGAGAAACTGCTAGCGTAGTCGAATAGAATTAGCACGATTTAGATGAAGACAGGAGACGCACAGAACACAGACGAGCGAGGTCAGCATGACAGCAACAGTAGCAATGCTAAGGACATTGAATGTACACAGCACTTTTCGTGCTTTGAGGCATGCATCAACGTTGCAGAATCATACTTGAACATAGGCGGCAGCGCTCGTCTGTGTTCTGTGTGTCTCCTGTTTTCATCTAAATCACACTAAATCTATCCGAGTACGTACCAACTCGCCCAAATCGAAGTGCTATTGCTAGCGTAGATCACTGGCATTCAAGACGCAAAGTGTGGCGACGAAGTACGTCTGCCAACTGAAAAGGAGGCGATTTTCATGATGTCTGCTCTCATTTTATTGCGATGTTGGCAAAGCACAAGAGATAATTATTGCTTAAGCTTCATAACTTGTACCCCAGCATTTCTTCCTACAGATCGATGTTTTATTTGTATTCCAACATACAAACAAAAAAAGTGTCATAAAGCCTGTCGTTTGGCCGACTGCGCACAATGCGCTTATTGCAGCCGCCAATGCCGTCTGCTCTGGGACAGTTCCGCCGTGCCTAGCACCTCAGAGATGATAACAAATGTGATGGCGATCTCGGAAGCAGCATCACATGATTTCTGTTGCAGGTGTTCATCATACGCGGAGCTCGTTGCCTTTGATATGTGGGGTTTAACGTCCCAAAACCACAATATGATTATGAGAGACGCCGTAGTGGAGGGCTCCGGAAATTTCGACCACCTGGGGTTCTTTAACGTGCGCCCAAATTTGAGCACACGGCCCTACAACATTTCCGCCTCCATCGGAAATGCAGCCGCCGCAGCCGGGATTCGATCCCGCGACCTGCGGGTCAGCAGCCGAGTACCTTAGCCACTAGACCACCACGGCGGGGCATGTTAAATAAATGTGTTTCGGAGCATACACTGCATTATATATTTCGGCAGTAAGGCTCACTGCTCAAAATGAATGCATGTCGGTGCTTGTGTCTTGCATATACCATTGAATGATCAAATAATTTTGTTCGCTCTGAGAACTTCGTGTACTTCATTTACAAAATTGCCTGCCACGATTGCATAGTAGTGTCTAAATCGCAATGACGATGCCTGTGCAGTGTGGCAATGTGCTCGTTCATTCTAGCACCCGTCCACCTAATTTGAACGATTTATAATCCCCTTTGAACATTTACTGTATGCAAGAACTGCAACTGCCTCCTAGAAATGACTTTCACTTCAATTGTGTTATGTTGCGCAGGCCTTTCACATTGAGTGACTTTGATGACTACCAGAAGCATTTCACCGTGATGAACTACACTGCATCTGGACCACAGCAGGTGAGTCTATTGCCCGAGTGGTGAAGCTGTGGCAAGAAAAACATCTATTGGCCATGTTGTCTGCAACAGACTGCATGAGACGGCTTTTTACACTGCATATGCATGTAAGTGGCTGTGATGGCAAACCGTAAGAACCAACATTCATGAGCTTGGTACCAGCAGAAGATATTTTCAGGAGGAGGCCAATAAACGAGGACTCTAGAACAGTAAAATGCATGTGACAATGCTTTCTCTTGAGGGGCCTGGAAACCATTTAAATAATTCTTTATCAATTCAAGTGAAACTCACTGAGTTTAAGTATATGTGTGTACTGATTTCTAATATGCAAATATTTTTTCAGTTACAATGTGTGGTCTTTAAAAAGACACTTAAGTTCGATGTTGATTGTTGAAATAGCAGTCCAGAAACATCATAGTGTTACTTTCGTGTGAATTAAATGCTTATTTTGAAATAAAATCACGTTCTCGTGGTTTGCATGGCGTTAGCGCACATCAAATTGCGCGCCTGCAAACAGACCGCCAGATGTAGCAGTTGCCTTGCCCAATGTTGCTTATCTTTACTGCGTGGCCGCCAGTACTAGCCAAACCGGAGTGAAAGTAGCGAGAGCCACGGCAGCAACAACGGCACTCAAAGAATTTTCCGCTTGCTTGGTTCAACTTGGCCCCTCTAGATGGCACCACCTATCCAGCCTAACCAGACGAAAACAGAACTTTTGAACAACTCGCACCATTCTCCATAGTACCTTCAATATTTACTTGCATACAATAGGTGCACTTGCATAATAGGCGCAACTCCAGTTTGGTTACGAGTAATCGGGTTTTTTTTTTGTTTGTTTGTTTGTTTCTGTGCATAATAGGCAGTCCCTAAACTTGGCTTTGATTAGTACTTCTGCACCTAATTTGCGTGGTTTCAATTGGGCGCTTTCTTACTGAAAGGAACACTAAAAAGCAAAACAACTTTTCCTGTATTAGAAAAGTACAATTTCACAAACCCGAAAACACCGCTCTTATTGCAATACGACGCTTGGTAGGTCAGAAAACGCGTGAAGAAAATGCAGGTGGAGACGCCACTTTGTGATTTTCTCACCAAGCACCATGACGTAGTAAATTTTGAAAGTGTCTACTGGATCCTACATAGCTCTTACTCAACATTTTTTCTGTAGGTGTCCTAGATGAAGCATACGAAGTTTTGGAAATCTTCTTTTAGTCGATGTTGCCTAAATATGAAAAATATATTTTGAAGCTTTCTACGTCACACGTGGAGATTTCGGCATGAAATTTAAAAATTAGATTTCAACCTTGATTTTCTCCTGTAATAATGAACTTATAACAGTGAAACTTGTTACTTGGAGAGCGCAGTTGATCCATCTAAGTCAAGTCATTGTTTCTGTTCAGTGTTCCTTTAACTAGAGTGAGAAAAAAAAAATAGAAGAAAAAGACAGGGCTACGCGGGCACGCAGAGTGAGAAAGAATGGTGGTGGGCCTTGGCATCGAAGTAACCTTTGCACCGGCGGCGCTGACGTGGCTCCGGCTGTAAGCGCTCCACATGGAACAAGCAATCACGTCCTCATCTAGTGCACATACGGCCAGTCTGGAAGCACCCACTCGCTCTTTCCTTTTAGGCCTGCCCTCGGGGGGCTGTTGATACCTATCGTTGCTGCAAGCCAACTCGCTGCCGGCAGCTGCGGACGCTAGAGCGCAAGGGGAATGTGCGGCTCCAAACTTGCCTGAATACATAGATCTCTGAATACATAGCATGTAATAGTGCTGAATTCCTATAGGATCTGGTTTGTAATTGTCGCCATTGGACAGACTATGCCCTGTTGAGTTTATGGTAAGGAGGGGGGTAAACACGCCTCTGTAATTTATAATGTTTCGTAATTTCATTGAACGTTGTCATGTGGTCTTCCAACCCCTACACATTTGGAAATTCTGACGAGGGATCAACATTTGTCGTGCCCGGAAAGTGAGTCCAGGAGCTACGTTGTGTGCCACCTCGTTAGGGTTGATATTTCCCGTGGTGTCGGGTATGTGAGCTGGGAACCAGAGAATGCAAACGCATCTGTCATCTTGGTTGGTTTTGCCTGTTCTAAGAATACTCAGTGCTTCAGGGGAGATTCTGCCATTTGCAAAGTTGCGTATAGCTGCTTGTGAATCACTGATTATACATCACACTTCAGTTTGTGATATAGCCAAAGCTATAGCTATCTCTTCTGCCATTTCAACGTGTCTCGTGTGTATTGTCAGACTGGTGCTGAATTATTTCTTGTGGTTAACTACAGCCGTGATGAAGCAGCTTTTGTGTTTGTAGCGAGTAACATCTACGAAGACTGCTTCTTTGTTGTTTCCGTAGCTCTTTGTCATCGTCTTGGCTCTGCTCAGCCTTCTACCAGTGTTGTGCACAGGATGCATGATTTTAGGTAACGGAGGCATGGTGAGCTTAGCCCGCACGTCACGAGGAATGTCGCATTTGGTGCCAAATTGTGTGTGATAAGTGATGCCTAATTTTTCCAGAATGTCTCTACCAGTCTTAGTTTTAGAGAGGTGCTCGTACTGCGCAATATGTTGCACCTCTATCAGTTCAAGTGTATTACCATATATACTCTCAGAATGATCGCTTTTTTTTTTTTTTCCAAAAAATTGACTTCCACTTCGGGATGCGATCATTACGCGGGGTAAATCTTCCGTGAAAAAATATTCTGAGCACCGGAAATGCAAAAACGTCGCTAATCAGAATTCTTACGGTAGCTATCATGAACATAACTAAAATTAAAAGTAAATTAAGGCTTACTTTTGTTATAAAATGCATGCATTACGCAGGAGCTACATGCATGGCACACTGCCTTTTTATTTTTTACCTCTCTGACCCCCTAATGTTCGCTCAGACTCCGAAGCATCACTGGCGTCAGTGTCGTCACCGCACGATTCTCTGTCGGAACCGGCAGTGTCTTCACTGTCTCACAGAGGGTCATCTTCCGTTCCGTCGAGTGAGTTGGAAATGCCAGCGACAGTCTATTCCGGTGCATGAAGCGTGTCATCCAGCCGGAACTGGCGCGGAAGTCCTTTGTGGCTATTGCCAGCCTCCGGGAAACTGTGCAAGCCTGCGTCTGTATCATGTCTAATGACACTGCATAACCGTCCTTGCCTATGTCCTTCACATATTCGAGGACTGACTTTTCAATGTCAGCGAACTTGCCAGATTTGGGTTCGTGGAAAGCCCATCGCGTGCTGTTAGTAGCCATGAGCATGTCGCGCTGTTTTTTCCAATATCGGATCCGGATTTCGTCGACGCCGAAATGTCTGCCGGCAGTGCGGTTGCCGTGCTCTAGCACGTAATCAAGCCCCTTCAGCTCGAATGCGGCAGTAAAGCTCGCATACTGCGGTGAAATGGCGCTTCAACAGACGATCACAAAGCACACCAAAAAAAATAAAAAAATGTGGTCTCAGGAAAAAAAGAAATACTGCTGCGGGATGAACACAGGTCGACCAACAAGCGGCCGCCGCTGTAACTGTGCGGGATGTCAAAACAAACATGGCGGCTGACGGAGCGAAGCACTCCTTGGAGCGAAGCCACCGCATTTTTTCTTTTTTTTTCTTTTTGCGTCAGTTATGGAGGTTGTGTGTATGTCACGCTGGTCAAAACAGTTTTTTCCATCTAAATAGGGAATGCTTTCATTTAAACCAGTAAATTTATGGCATTAGCATAGTGATGCCTGCTTTCAGATCACAGAAACATTGATAGGCGCGTTCAGCTAGACTTGGCACATGACATGTCGATCCGGCAAGTTCAGGGTGCGATCATTACGCGGGAAAAAAAAAAGTCGAACTTACACGACAAAATTTAGCGGTGCGATCATTATGCAAGTGCGATCATTACGCGAGTAAATACAGTATGTAAACCTAGCTCTAACAGCCTCTCTGTACTTGTGCTTTGCATGAGCCCCAAAGTTTATTTATAGATTTTTCTTATGATGCTGTTTAATTTCATTTTTTCTGCTGCGAACCATCTATGGTATGCAGGAACATACGTAATGTGGCTGATTACAAACGCGTGGATGAGCCTTATGACATTTACCTCTTTCATGCCGCTATGCTTATTCGTAATTCTTCTTATTAGGCACATCGTTTGAGAAACCTTCGCTTCGATATTGCGTACCGTCTCCTCGTTGGTGCCTTTGGCTTCTATTATTACCCAAGTACCCTTATCTTGTCGAAAATGGGTATGGTGTGTCCATCTCGTGTTTTAAGTTGTATGTCTGTGTAGGTATGTATGTTGTGGTGCTTGGGATGTCGGCCTTTTAAAGTTGGTGTATATATATAGTTGCAGCTCAGACTTTTCGGCTGAGCACGTGAGACCAGTTCCTTCTAGGTATTGCTCTATAATGTCGATCGCTTCTTGTATACGTTGTTCAATTGACCTATCGCTGCCGTTGCTTACCCACAGAGTAAAATCATCTGCATATATTGTATGGTGCAAACCTTCTATTTTTTCTAATCTACTTGGGAGGCCAGTTAGAACTAAGTTAAATGACATAGGTGATATCACCGATCCTTGGAGTGTCCCTGCACTACCCATAGAAGTTTCCTCGGATGTGAGGCCTCCTACAAGGATTTCGGCTTGTATCTGTTAGGAAGTTCCGGATGTAATTATACATCCGCTCACCTAAACCTTAGTTACTGACGTGATTCAGTATGGCTTGGTGGGTGACATTATCAAATTCCTTTTTTAGATCAAGCCCAAGGATGGCTCGAGTTGGTCTGCTAGGGTCATCTATGATCTCGTGTTTTAATTGTGGCATAGTGTCTTGTGTACAGACATTTTTCCGAAATCCTATCATTGTACATGGGAGTGCGTTGTTGTCCTCTAGGTAGTTAGTCAATCGGGTCAGTAAGGCGTGTTCCATTACCTTACCCAGGCAGGAAGTCAGTGAAATAGGTCTTAGGTTTTCAAGCTGTAAGCGTTTGCCAGGGTTGGGTATAAGCACGACGTGCGCTGTTTTC